TTGGGACCCGTTATCGTTTCCGCAGTCGTTTAGTGCCGTATTCGGTCGTCCTCGTGTGGCCGAACGGTCTATACGACACTAAACAGTAACGCAAACGACCGTTTTCGTCCTCGTGTGGCCGGGGCATAAGTGAACATTTGAATAACCTTCACACAGAATTTCCAGATACATTTCCTTCAGAATACTGCTTACAGTGTATTTGTTCTCCTACATTGAAATACCCAGTAGGCCCCGGCTTAAAGTGTGTGGACAGTGACGACCATACCGTGTGAATACTAAAAAGACGTACCAGTGTAACAGAAAGTGTGTGTGTGCCTGTATGAGGGTGTGTGAAATCACAGACAGAGGACTTAAGGACAGCTCCTGTATCAGCAGCACCTGGAGATCGGTCAGAGACGTTACCTTAGTGTCGACACGCAGCATGAACTGAGCCAAGCCTTTGATTGGTCCAGGCAGCAGGGCCTCCTCCCGCTCGCGTCCATGCCTCTCCAGCACCGCCCACCATGAGAGGAGGGTCCGCGCTGCAAAGCCCTTCAGCCCAAAGTGGACCACCAGCTTCTTCAGCACCCACACTAAAGTATCAATGCATCATTAGTCAGAGAGTACAGTAGGTTGGACGAGATGCATGTGAGAGGGAGTGTGTGAATACATGTGTGTGTTACCAGCCACAGGGATAGGCAGCAGTTGTAGGATCCAGAGGTTGAGCCAGACCTGAACCAGTACAATGGCCCAGACCAGCAGAATGAAGTAGATATCACTGGCTCTGTGGGCGCTCTTCTCTTTCTGGAAGAGGCCGCCTGGTAGAGAGCGAGAGCCCCGAGGAAACCCAGGCGTGGAGGGAAGAGGGCCGGCAGACGGTAAACCATCTTGGTGGAGAAGAGGGCGAGGGCACAGAGGAAGAAGAGAAAAGGAAGAAGAGAAAGAAAGATCAGAGCAATGACGATGGACTATGGTTTGTTTTACAAAGTAAAATACCACCATGGTTAAATGGTAAAGCCAAAGCAGAAGTGTCTTGTTCCTTAAAGGTTGCTGGGTCAGAGAACATGTTGACTGTATGCAGCTTCTATATTAAAACACAAAGTAGTTTGGAGATTAATATCCATTAACCATCTGAATCCCAAGCTCTTTCAAGATTTTTGTTTAATTCTGTTTTGAATTTTGGTTTGGCTTGTTTTTCACTGCAATATAGATATGTTTGTATAATTCCTCCACCTCTATTGAACAATCACAATTATGGCTTGATCATTTGATTTGATGATATTTAGGTGGGAAAGTTGGTCACACATGATTCACTCAAATATAATAATCGAATGAAATGTGTAAATGGTATCCTTTTGGCAATTTGTAAAAAAAATGCCTTTCAAACCCACCAAGAGGTTACAGGGTTCAACACTTTTCAAACAGAATGCTTTATTGTCTGTTTACTTGATTGAGTATGGTGGTTGTTGACCTTCTCTAACAAACTTCAAAGTGAGCTCTCTTACCTGTAGTAGAGTTTTCACCCGGCTCAGTTTTCATCTTAAGGTTGCTACAGGAGATTGCCATGTAAATAGTGTTAGCAGCAAACGACAACACCTGCCCCGACAGCTCTCCTGGGGAGATGAAGAGAGACACAAAATACCAGTCACAAATAACAACACAGCAAAAAGCAACACATTTCTTTGTGAGTTTGTGTGGTATTTTCACTGGCCCAAACTGTCCACCTCATGTTTTAGGTAAAGCTTTACTAAGATACTGTATAACTAAATGTAAGTGGTAGCTCGAGGACTAGATTGGTCACATTATATTAAAAGGTGTTTTTATTTTTTCTGCTGCTAAAAGGATGATAGTTTGTGAATAGGATTCTTTCATATGGTCGTTCAACATATTGTATTTCAAGATGATTTCATACACCTTGATTATAAGGCTATAAATTGACATTTATAGAACTTGTTGGCTTTCTGGCTGACAGTAAGATGAGAATATTGATACCGCTCATATAATGTAATGCTGTATTCAGAAGAAAGTTAATAAGTTACATGAAAACTGTAAACAGGGCTGCACCAGCACATCTGAAGTTCACAAATTAACATATTATATATATATATATTTGACATGTACCAGCACTCTATTCAGTTATTTATGAATGCCCAGTTGACCGGGAGCAGAGGCTTCTTATTCTAATGTGGATGTGTGTGTGTTCATAAATCCTCACCTCTGCCAGGGACAGGTGGTTTCTCTTGGGATCCCACGATGATGAGGGCAACCACAACCACAAATATGGGCACCCTCCAGGAGCCGGTCAGAGACACTGAAAACAGATGCAGAAACCAGGGCAGTAATAACTAAATAAATATATCTCAATATTTTGGAGATACATTTTGCTCTTTACCTTCATGACATTTTGTTACATTATTTGTTATTTCTTGACAAAAATGTTTACATATGGTGCACTACTGTATAAGCTGAACGATATGTCTTGCTATAATTACAGCACTAATATTATTTATTCCGAAGCATTTGTATAAGGATAGGTGCCAAACAGAGATCAGATATGTCTACAGGCTTGGGATAGCCATATATGCTCTCTGTCACTTTTAACATTTCACACCCGGAGGTCAACAAGTGTTTTATGGCAAGCCTTAAGTGTGCTAAAAATACTGGAGATTTCATCTTACTATGAAACTCTGCATGTGATCTTTCTAAGGGGAAATAGAAAACTACTTCACTCCATTGACTGTGTAACTGTGTTTCTGAAGCCTGTTTCAAGCTACCTGCCTAGTATGTTGAATGTGAAGAAATGTTCCTAGGGGCAAAGAAGGAATCTGAATGGAGTGTGGAATGAAACCAACATGTCTGAGCAGAGTCTGCAAGCTTCCCTTCCTCCTCACACTCACCGGTGTAAAAGAGCAGGACGGCCCAGACAGGGAGAGCCACGGCCCGGAGGTAGTGCTCTGTGTTGGGACTCCACTTCAAACAAACAGCCAAAAAGTAGCCAAACACCACGGGGCACACCTGAGAGGGAGCAAAGAGGCAGAGTGGCACATAATGAAAATCTAAAGATGGTAATGGTTGTAATCAGATCAAGGTACATGTTGTAACCTCTGCTCATCTGATGCTTCTTCCAAATACAGTACAATTTGGTCAGTGTTTATGATTGTCCATGGTGGTGAGCATCTTACCAACAGACAATCTGCTGCTGTTTGGTAGGAAAAGCATGACATATGATCCTTCAGTCTGTAATCAGATGGTCTCAAAGGTCTTACCCAGTTCAACTCCACACAAAGACGTCTTTCGATGTAATTTAATACAATGTCCTCAATTCTGTTTTCGGACAAGGACCCTGTGAGAGTCTACATCTGCATTTAGAGAAAGGACAGGAACATTTAATCTGATTTGTATTTAGTCAAAGCGTAGCTGGGCTCAGACCCTGAGGCTGTTTTGGAATAATAAGGTATTAATCGATCAGACACTGAAACAGCAGGAAATCTTATTAGCTAAAATACAAGTTTAGGCATATTTTCCAAGAAAAATAGATTAACGGTATAACCCATTATGAGACACGTTCAAGGAAATGTATTTCCATCTATTTGATGCAATTTGTTATTCTGCAATTCTTTGAACTCAGTTTTATTGTTTATTAACTACTGATCATACTGCATAATTTGTTTATCAATTGAACTCTTATAAATTAATTATTCTGAGCTCATTTTAATCAAACTGGGAAAATGAGAAAAAAAACATTATCAAATACTCCTCCTTAACTAAATAATAACACATTTAAAGAAAATAATTAACTTCAAACTTGTTGCTGATAAGACTACATTTGGTGAACTGCATCAATTTCAGAATGTTTTATTTTGAATACATGTTTTAGAAAGAAGTATAGGCAAATCAAACGGAAAACGTATTATAATGTATAGTGGTGTAGATTGTAACCCTGTGTCCCAGCTACTCTCTGAGCTGTTTAGGGGGTCCAGCTGACAGAGCTCCACACTGACACATTGGGTCACAGAGGGTGTCTTGTCATCATTACAGGGTGGGGGGGGGTACCACTGTCCATTCACTCACCCACACAGTGTGGAAACAGTCCAGCGCGGCCCCGATGACCGAGCAGACGTGCCCGATGATCACCTGCATGCCGATGATGCTCCAGAACAAGTACAGGAAGTACACCAGCGGCGCCCCGGCCCCGATCACCAGCAGCACCGTGAGCCTCTGCAGCACCAGCCGGCCCATCGCCTCCACCAAGTAGTTCACACACCACACCGGGATCAGCAGGGTCCCCATCACGATGGGCGTCCCGGTCTCCTGCAGGCCGCTGAGCCAGGAGCGGCCGAGCCGAGCCAAGGAGTGCTTGAAGGGGTGGAGGAAGGTCCCGCAGAGCACGGCCCACAACAGCGGCCGGAGGAAGGCTTCCAGGATGAAGTACACCAGGACAGTAGCTCCGCAGCATATCGCCACAAAGATCATCGCCCCCGTGTTATAGAAGGCCTGTTTAATGTTTTTATCAAACTTCAGGGAGGACGGCTGGGTTAGCAGCTGGCTCACCATCCCGACGGCCGGCTGCACACTCTCGGAGAAGAAGACAGAGTGAGGCCGCCCGGAGAGAGGGCTGCCCGGGGGACAGGGGGCGGCGGGGCCCGGCACCGAGTTCTCCTCGTCTGCCATGTTCCCCGACTCTGCCTCTGTAGTCTACCGGAGGGATCTAAGCCGACGCGTGAGGGAGGAAAACATGTGACGTAGCGCTAACGAAAGGCCCAAGGCACCATGGGAAATGTAGTGAAAAGACAGAAACAAACGCTTCCGGTTTTTTGTTTTTGTTTGGATTATGTTCTTTATCTTTTAAAGTGTGGTGCTGCATAATGTTATAAATCTACTAATTTACAAACACAATACTGTTGTTCCAATCTTCATTTCCGGCTGGTGTTGTCCCACATTGCTAGTATTTAAAGAATTACACATTTGAAAAAAGCAACAATTTGACTGAAATTAGCACATAACTGAGTCTTACACGCAGCTTTTATGAACAAGAAGTGTTTTAATTTGGCCTGCTTGAAAAAGACAACAGTTGGCTTATTGATACAGTCACTATTAGGTCATAACAACACACATTTTAATTGACAGGTTTTATTTTTCAGGTAAATGTTGCAAACACATTGTGTGCATTGAAGCCAAGGAGGCAGGGCCCTTGAAACAATGTTGGTGGTTGAATGCTATATAAACGTTAATTGTATTTAATTGTTAATATATGGCATCTTTTATTTTTCTTTAAACTACACCAAATAAAGGTTTGCTTTACCCTGGAAGACTATTTTTACACTTACAAACACAGTAAACATGTTGAAGAAGCCCCCGTGTTTTAAAAATACAGATGATAAGACGTTGGTCCTCAATGTCCCATCTTATAATTTTTTTGAAATTTATATTAAAAATATTTTTTTTTTCTCTTGGGTATATTGTATTCTTGCACTCATGTAGCAGTCAGAGTGCCACAGTACTAATAAACAAACAAACCCAATAGCCACTGTGAAATAAAACAGAAAACAATCTTAAAGTACATTTTAGGAAAAGATTAGTGCCAAACATAATGCTTTTGCAAAGTAAAATCTTGAAAACTATATTTTGTGATAGTAGGATCAGCAAATAAACCACCTTTTTTAGTTTCTCCAAAGCCTGGAGTCTATTTAAACATACAATGGTAAAGAGACATGAAGATAATGTGCAAACGGCTGTGAGCTACTTGTTTTTCTTTGTCCTTTTTTAGCCAACACGAGGCACTGTCTCCTCATCACCATTGAATCGCTGGTTTTTTAAATCATTTTCAGATTTCCAAGGGCATGCTTAAAATCTATGATAAATACTGAAAATAGTTGACCTATTTTTACTATAACAATAATCTCAGGAAAAAAAGTGTACTGACACCAGTACATGACACCTCTACAATATAGATATAATAATTTGGCAAAATTCTGTTTATGAGTTCAGAGTAATGTTTATAGACTTTTTTTATGTTTAACATTTCTAATACAGTGTCTCTTTGTGCAAAGTTCACACTAGATTGTGGCATCAGACCTTTTTGTATTGCTGCTTCATCTTCTCTTCCATCTGTCTTCCACTATGTGCTCTGCTGTGCGTCATTATGGCGTTCCCATTAGTAGGTAGAAGGTGAGGGCTACAATAAGCAGTAAGCAGAGAGGAGAGTTGAAGGTCTGGTAGGCTGTGGAAGGCATGAAAAGGTCCTCGTACTTATAGATGCTGACCATGCGGTCGCTGACAGGCGGATTGTCGATGTCATGCCTCGTGATGGAACCTGTTGAAAAGGTAAAACGATGTAAGATGTCATAAAAAACAAAAATAGCACAAAGACAGTTGACTTGATGCTAAGCTTAATCCATTACCTTGTATAGCGGGTCCCCATGCAAACAGGTAATACCATGACAAGTGTAAGTCCACAAGTGTTTCCTCTCTGGGAACATATAACGGCCGTTTGAAACGGCAGGTCACCCGGTTGTTATCAAAAATGCCCTCTTCATCTCTAGCAGGGTTCCTCTTTATCTCCTTGGCCCACTGGCCGACATTGTAGAAGTGATGAATCCGTACACGTCCGTTATCGTCATGGACACAGCCCATGACATCGTCTCCTCCCTGAGGAAACAGGAAATAATTAGTTGCTTTCTTATTCCAAATAGCTACATATAATTTGTTTTAATTAAGTTGGATTCATTGGATCGGATTTCGAGGCGTAGTCATGGGGGAGGGGGTCTGCAGTTCGGTGGACTAAGGATTGCACCACTGCTTTTTGCAGATGATGTGGTTCTAATGGCTTCATCGGTCTGCGACCTTCAGCACTCACTGGATCGGTTTGCAACCGAGTGTGAAGCGGCTGGGATGAGGATCAGCACCTCCAAATCTGAGGCCATGGTTCTCAGCAGGAAACCGATGGACTGTCCACTCCAAGTAGGGAATGAGTCCTTACCCCAAGTGAAGGAGTTCAAGTATCTCAGGGTCTTGTTCTCGAGTGAGGGAACAATGGAGCGTGAGATGGGCCGGAGAATCGGAGCAGCGGGAGCGGTACTGCAGTCGCTTTACCGCACCGTTGTGACGAAAAGGGAGCTGAGCCAGAAGGCAAAGCTCTCCGTCTACCGGGCCATTTTCGTTCCTACCCTCACCTATGGTCATGAAGGAAGGGTCATGACCGAAAGAACGAGATCGCGGATACAAGCGGCCGAGATGGGTTTTCTCCGCAGGGTGGCTGGTGTCTCCCTTAGGGATAAGGTGAGAAGTTCGGTCATCCGGGAGGGACTCGGAGTTGAGCCGCTCCTCCTTCGCGTCGAAAGGAGCCAGTTGAGGTGGTTCGGGCACCTAGTTAGGATGCCACCTGGGCGCCTCCCTAGGGAGGTGTTCCAGGCACGTCCAACTGGGAAGAGACCAAGGGGTAGACCTAGGACCAGGTGGAGGGATTATATCTCTTCGCTGGCCTGGGAGCGCCTTGGGATCCCCCAGTCAGAGCTGGTTGATGTCGCCAGGGAAAAGAAAGTTTGGGGCTCTCTGCTGGAACTGCTACCCCCGCGACCCGACCACGGATAAGCGGGAGAAGATGGATGGATGGATGGATGGATTCAAATACAAGGTATAAATAAAATAACTAGGACGGATACTATTATTGTTCATGCAAGGACATTCAGCCCCTAGTGTTTTCTTTCAAAGAACTGTCACAAGATTAGACTGGAGTTACAGACTGGAGGCAAAGCTATTCTCTGATTCTCAATGCACATGAGTTGGTTTTCCAAAAATTAAAGTCATCTAGGAATAGGCAAAATAGGAAAAAGTCAATATTTAAAATAAAAATGTCTAGCTGAGACTGCAGGTTAGCTGTCAAACTCATCTTCAACTTGTGGATATGTCAAAGTTCAATCTTGGGATATAACATTAGTTAGTCCTTTGAATTACTTAATTCAAAACTTTAGACCATTTAGATTTAGAAATGACCTAAGCTGCATGGCTTTGGACTATACTGTAGGAGGAAGTCAGAGGACTCTTACAAATCAGACCACATGAGAACAACCTGCAAACTCCTCACAGAAGACCCTTCTAACCCCTAGCTATTAGACAATAACTAATAAGATATATAGTGTCTAGCCTTGATTATGGGGTGTAAAACATATGTTCACTATGTAAACAACTGTTTTAACTTCCGTGTTTTTAAACTAGTAACTTGGTCTCAGCAAAAGATTAGACTAAAATTTGATGTAATAACACAATGTGTTGTGCTATCTCTAAACAGTCATTACAGTCAGAGTTGTTGTTGTTGTTGTTGTTGTTGTTGTTGTTGTTGTGCAGCTGCTCACCATTTTCTTGTCTGAGGAGAAACCTACGGCCACCCAGCCATCTGTGTCTGCGCTCATCTCATACTCCACGTCTGTCCCGATGCGGCGATAACTCAGAAAATAGTCGCACGTTTCTGCATCACAACCTGGCTTCCCATATCTGTACATAAACAAATACAAACGTTCACTTTTAAGCTACTAATGACGAACAGATCTCAGTTGAGAACATGAGCTTCACATGATAACATTAAGACCAAATGTAAACCTTTAAAATGAATTTTATCCAGGTTTTTAAAAAAAACAGAGACGACACAGTGGAGAGGTCTATGATTAGCTCCAGCTTTCTGAAGTCCGGCTGCAGCAGCATATAGGGCAGCCATGGGGAATAAATCTGCACCAGAGATCTGCTCAGTAAGTTAGAGCTGAAAAGCATGCACCCTTCTCTTACCTTATGCAGCCTTTGGTTACTCCACAGTCAACTACTTTGATCCTGGCAAAGGGATCTACTGGTGGGGCGGTGGGGAATGGATAACCTGCGAAATGCAAAATCAGAACTGTTGGTTCGGCACAAAACCAATTGATTGTTTCTAAGACAGTCAAAGGGGCCAACTAGAGGCCATCTGCACTGTGTGTGTGTGTGTGTGTGTGTGTGTGTGTGTGTGTGTGTGTGTGTGTGTGTGTGTGTGTGTGTGTGTGTGTGTGTGTGTGTGTGTGTGTGTGTGTGTGTGTGTGTGTGTGTGTGTGTGTGTGTGTGTGTGTGTGTGTGTGTGTGTGTGTGTGGTGTGTGTGTGTGTGTGTGTGTGTGTGTGTGTGTGTGTGTGTGTGTGTGTGTGTGTGGAAGTGAGGGTTGGCAGCTACCAATGGGGGAGCTGGCCTGGGTGCTGAAAGGCCTCTAACACTGTAGACAGGTAGAATGAACCACAACATAAACAGCACTTGTTCACTTTCTGCTTACAGTTAGTGTTTAATGTGCAGTGTTTATGCTTAACTCTTGTATAGATATGTGTGTATGGTGCATGACATGTAAACAAAACCCACCAACTAGCAATCAGTACCAATGCATTACATCCTTACCGTCATCGGACAGATGCCTGGACTCCAGGAACTCGGAGGCGAAGGTGCTGTATGTGTCCTTGTGAGGCTCCTGGTGTCCCGGCTCTCCGTGCTCTCCGTGGCCGGACCTGAGTGCTCCTTCATCGGTGGGGCTCGGCGCGACCTCCCACCATCCGCTCTGTACCACCAGCGTCAATAACTGCACGAGTCTCCGCAGGAAAATCATGGTTCGATAAATTGACAAAAATGAAGCGATAAAAACAACTAAAGCAACTCGAAATCAAATCGGATCCTCGTTATTGTTTGAATGTCGGTATCTTCACAGGTAGGGCCTTCCCATCGCGGCGTCACAAACATCATCCCTGCATCCCAATTGCCTGTTTGCTGTGTATTCGTATGGATGTGGGGGGATTCAGCGCCGATGACCGTGTGATTAAAGCTAATCCAATCCTAAATTACCCATATTTGTAATAGCACCGTCTAATTCAGCTACACCATCATAATCCTCTTTGAAATCCGAATCTAGATTCATAGCAGTGCTCTTTAAGCTTCAAATATTTTTCAGTCGGAGTGTTGGCTGGATGAATGGTTTCGCCCGGCCTCCCTCTCTTCTTCTCCTCAGTCAATCACAGTAACATCCAATGAGGAGCCGCTACGTGCTGTGATCAGGATCAATCAATTGGGGATCAGTTATAGTCCGAAAGTGAGAGGTTGTTTATAAAAACGGAAATCGTTCATTTGGAGAAGATGGATTGTATCCCATAGGCTACTTCTGAAAAAAGGGCCGTAGCAAAAGGCATGAAAAGTCTTAAATAAATACAAGTTGGTTGGAAATAAAAAAATGTGTCAATGCCAGAATGTTTTTTAGTCCAGTTACATTATTGCAAACTTAATCTATTCACACAAATATTTGAATTGAAAAGCAAACTCTTTTAAGGCTGAATAACATAATATTCTTCTGAAGAAATAAGAAAATCATCTATTTATTTGAATAAAAGTAAAAATACTAAAATCAGGCTGTTAATACCCACCATGTTTGTAATTGTTGTGTTTTTCTTTAATGGAAACAATCAGGCACGTGTCCCATTTGTTAAAAACATGTATCTGGGTCTGAATATAGATGCAATTTAAAAATGTATGATGATTGTGCAGTCTTGTATGCGCCTTCTCAATGCATTATGTATTTAATAATGTGCAGTCCAGCTTTAATGTGTGCATTTAGTTCCAGATAACCCAATAAGTCTCCTCTTACTGCTTTTGTAAAACAACAGAGCATGTGTTTTGTGTAAAATTCATACAAAATCGGAGACAGACATGGTTGTTTGCAGAGTGTGAATTGGTGAATATGCATTATTTTTACTGAACTAAACATAATCTAGGTCTTCACTCACATCCTTGACTTCATACTCTATCCTCTGTCTTTTTCAGTGGTGGTACACAGTCCTGCCACATGATGGTGATATAAAACCACAGTTTGAACCTCATTTCAGAGAATCTGTTCTTAGGCAACTATTTATCATTTTTACTTTTAATTTAGAGACATTTCCCATCTGATGGAGTCAGTACTTACTATCTTAGACTGCCGTGGGTACAAATGTATATCACATCATTTTATTTCAGTAAAGGTAAAGGACAAATTACATCAAAGTTTTAGCTACATGTTTTTTTAAGACTTCGGTAATTTCATTGTGCCTGTGTCTTTCTGAGAAATTAAAGCTGATGAAAAACTACTTTATAAATGAACAACTAAATCTGTAATAATAGCTCATAACTGTGCGCCTTGCGGAAATAAAATGTAAAGAATTGCAAGTTATGAACTAATGAAATAAAAAATGTAACACTTGCCCCATGTCCGGTTATAATCATTTTTGTAATATTCTCAAAGTATAATGAGTCATCAGTCATCCTATAAGTGGACACTCACAGAAGTGTAAACAGACCTTTAGCATCAGAATCGTCCATTCGTTAGAAATCATAACTACGGCAGTGATGCCTAGAAATAATTGTAATACTTAATATTTAATTGGTTTTGTAACAGTTATTTAATGGGTCTGTACACACTTGTATGCACACATATTGCACGTTTGGACTGCTAGCTTTGTTTAAATTGATTTAAATTGAATATGTAATCATATAATTCAATTGTTTAGTATTTGGTCAAAAAGTAACCACAGTGCTAAAAAGTTTCATATTTTATCGAGTAGTGACTGCAGGTGAGCGAGACACAGATAGGCTGAGGAACGTTCATGTGTGTGTCCTGTAGGTGATGCTGGTGTTACACAGTCTAAAACAGACTAAAAGTGTAAATAGACAATAATGACTGTCAGACAGATCAGAGACTGACTGACATCCACAATCATACTCACACACACACTTTATTTTTGCATTGCATGTGAACTTTTATGTATACATTGTTTTCTGTATAAGAGTATGTCTAACATTGATTTTTTGTATCATACGTGTGTTCATACAAGAGTGTGTGACCTTTAACCCTTTCCCTCTTCACACCGTCTCTCTCAAACACAAATCAACCTGATCAATCGTTTCTCTTGTTCTCCATCCACCCAATTATCCCTCGTTTATCCTCCTATTATTCCCACTTCTACCAGCCGACCCTCTCTCTTTCCCCCCCCCTCCCAATTACCATTCCGTGTAAGGGGCAATGCTTGCTGGGTAATGAGGGACTCTGGGCGTAGCAATCTTATCTTAATAGCCTTAAAGGGCCACTCATTAACACAAACACTCGCTCTCCCGCACACACATACACACCTATCCACACACTTCTGTCCCCGTACATCTTGCCACAGAGAGAGATGGAGTGATGGAAAGAGAGAGTGAACATGGACCTGATGGGAGCAGAAAGAGAGAGAAAAGAGATGCTGGTAGAGAAGCGATGAGGAGAGGGTGAGGCAGGATGGGGGAGATCTGGTAAATGTCAGCGGTGGGTCTCCTGGGCCTGAGAGACGGGTTAGTGACAGGAGAACAATGGCCGCTGGATCCATTCGGAAACACAGCTGCTATGAGTGCAGGCCTGGATCTGTCCTCTGCTTAGCCATCAGCCAGCACTTGTAAAGGCAGAGCTAACCCCACACACACATATATACTGTAAACACATACTTGTAGAAAAATGCTAGCTGGCACACATCAAGCCACCCACAATTGTTTACCTGGACACACAAGGTAAGCCCGGGATGTTATGGAGGATCAGCAGCGATGATGGCTTAGTCAGAGCTGTCAGTCAATAACAGCCCCTGTAGGCTCAGACCGGCACATGCAATATGAGGCCTGCATACTCATATCTACTCTGCTAGGGCTGCTTTACTTGGACTGATAAAGCTTGGGAGATATGTTGTGTCTCTAACTGTCAAAAGATCCTATGAATGTCTTAGAAACCAAGAATCCCATGAATTGATATGTTTAAGAGTGACGTGTCCCTTCATTAAGTTGAAGATGGGCTGTTGTTTATATCTGAGTTAATCCCTTATACAATATTTGCAAAAATCTACGGGTATTTCAAACTGATTCTTAGCTTTGTAATTTCATTGTAATGATAAAACATGGGAGGCACATCCTTGGCTATCCAATAAAAATAAAGCCTTCTTTAATCCGGTCGGTCTCCGGTTTGCCTGCACATCTCCTGTAGTTAAGATATCTCTCCTTTCTTAATATTTTTTATACTTTTACTATTTTGCTAATTTGTGTAGTAGAGCTGCAGAGATATCATTGTATCCCCTGGTAGAGCTGCAGAACTATAAACCCATTGGTTTTGTCTTATTTTGTCATCTAAACTCAATGTTCGAAACCTACCACCTCATTCCCTATCAGAGAGTGGTTAGATCACTTATCGATTCACCCCCTCGTATAACGCAAGCTATTAGCTCAGTCTCCAACTCTCTCACACACACAAACAGTCATAAAGCAGGTCTGTGATAGCTGCGGCCCCCCTTCCCCCAGGGCTTCATTTAGGAGTTGTCAGAAATCACTTTACTCACTGAGGCCAGTAAACACTATTGGCACGTTCTTCTGCCTGCAGAGCAAATGCACCCTCGCCCCACCTTTCACACCGTCACCTTCACACCCCAAAAGACAATGAAAAGACATTTGTCCTCATTGTTGTTTGCTTATTACACTCGTAGCTAAATACTGTGTAAGCGTTATATGAACAAAGGTCTGTCTTTGTCTTATTTTGCATACATATATTGGTTTTTGCAGTTTGTCTGTTGGGGTCTCTGTGTGTACCAAAGGCTGAAGGCTTCCATTGTGCAGATGAAATGTTTGCTTTAGAGATAAGGAGGCACCGATGAGCCATCGATCAGCACTCATTAAACACATCTGACCCTGGTGACACATATTTGCATGCACACACTCAGCCACATGAACACGTACAGCTGACAAACACAGGAAACATTATTTAAGCTCTGAATGTATTAGATCTCATTCCAGCCTGTCATGCCTTGGTCTCCTGCCATGTGAGTGACTCTAAGTGTGTATTGACAGCTGACTTAAAATGCTCGTTGTCAGTAGACTTATCCATTAAGCTGTGACACCGCTCTCTCTCCATTTAGAGACGCAGACTGGCCAGGGCCTTAAGCAGTGATTATGGTATTGGGCAGTGGGAGCTGGGGGCTGCACCGTCATTAGTCTGGTTAATCAGAGCCTTGCTCCGGGTTAAGCTCCGGACCCTCAAGAGACAGGCTGATGAGCTGAGAGCCGTGCCCCGCCTGCAGTGTTCGGGCCCCGGCTCCAGTGGGTCCCCTGGCCCCTGCATGCTCCAGCCAGAAATCTATAACTCCCCCCTGGAGCTCTGCGCGGAGGCTCAGCCTCCTGGACAACACTGACACACCATGCATGGTAATGAGACACACACAGAATGACACACTGTCACACACACCTGTTAGCACACACCCACACTTGCCACTGATGCAGTGTTAGCAATCATCACTTAGTTTCTATGAGTTTGCTCTGCTCTACCAAGAAAAGCGCTTTATGCTCAATGGCAGTCAAAAAACAAGCGTATCCCTCTGTGTTTCACCAGTTAGCAGTGACCTTGACTTAACGACGCATTTGATCCAACATCTAAATGCTTAACTACCCCTGTCCTTGGAGCCCAATAATAACCAGCTCAGCACAATGAGTGTATAATGACCACAGGGACTGTTGGGTTTTCAAACAGGAACGACCCAAACACACTCATAGATAGACACATTCCCAAGGGGAAATGAGGGTCTCAGCTCAGCAGGGACCCTCCAGAAACATGAATCTGAGCCAGGCCTGCCATTGGCCAGCGTCCTTTATCCATGTGTCCCCTGTGAGCTCATTAGCCCCAATCATAACCACTTCCCTATGTCTGCTTTACATGCCCCATCCATCTCCACCCTGCCACGCACAAATTACACTCTCCATCAGGATCTGACGGACAGAGAGTGTGTGTGTGTGTGTGTGTGTCTGCAGGAGTGTGTGTTTAAAGGACAAGCAAGGTCGGAGAGACCCCAACATTTCCCAGTGGACTTAGCAGACCCTAGTAGAGCAGGATAAAGTGGGCGGGAGAAGCCATAAGAGGAGACAACCACGGGTGAAAAGGTAGAAGGAGGTTAA